CCGTCCCCCCCCCCCCCCCCCCCCCCCCCCCCCCCCCCCCCCCCCCCCCCCCACCCCCCCCCCCCCCCCCCCCCCCCCCCCCCCCCCCCCCCCCCCACCCGTACGCACACTCACCCCTCCTCCACACCCACACTCACCCACAAATTATGGTAGCCAAACAAATTGTTGGCAAAAAAAAGAACTTGTCGGCAAAGTGTACTTGTCGGCAAAACAGTCTGTCGGCGAAGCGGCGTCGTCAAAATGGGTGTCGGCAAAGTGGGTGTCGACAAAGTGTACGCGACCCGTCCTTACTGAATACTTACCATGATAGTATCGCTAAAATAAAGAACGAAGTATTTTTTTCTTGTTCAGATATTATATATTTAATTACTGTCACTAATGGAAGAAAAACAAAATAGAATAAGTAAACATACGAAACGATGACAGTCCTCCTTCTCTAAAAAGTTAAGAATGAATAATATGCAACCAGTCAGACGAACGCCGATAAAAAAGACGTTTCTATGCGTCAGACGTGCACGTTTTTTTTAGCAAAATAAGTTTCACAACGTTAATATTTACAAACTTCAATAGAAAAGCATAGAAAATAATATTGCTTGGAAGATAACGAGAAGAGTTTCAAAAGTGTGACTGAAAATACTAAAATATAATAGAATATGGTACAAGTCACAGATGGACACGGTTCCGTTCGTTCCCTTTTAAGTCGATCTCAGATTCGATTCAATTTAAATTTTGAAAAACTCGAGAGTGAGTGGGTGTGAAGTGTGTACAGGAAATACAGTTTGAGTATACATCCAAAAGATACTTTTATCACATGTGAGAACAGGAGAAGTTATTGAAGAAAAATATATATTTGCAAACAAGCATTTTTTCTCACACATGTGGCAGGCGATGGCATTTGCAAGCATCGCCTAGCTGTGAGTGAGAAACCAAAAAAATGCATTTGTTGCAAATCAAACTAAATTCTTTTTCCTTTTAGTATGTGCTCACCAAAAATGTTGCACAACCAATTGAAAGAAAATTGACATTTTCCTCAGTTCTTTTTTACCGTCGCAAGAGTATAGATGTGTTGGTGCTAGGCGAATAAAGTATTCATACTCACACCCATCCTCAAGAAAAAATAGACATATGAGAATTTATTTATTTATTTAATGAACAACTAGATATTTTCATCACATTTTATTTGTGAGTTGGGTGTTTTAATATTGTTGTCAGGTTCAATTCGATTATTTATGTGGCAACACCAATATGTCCATCGTTTGCAACATTTTTTTACTAGAACAAGTTTTACTTGACGACGAAAACGACGTGAGAATATTATGAAGATATAAAAGTTGATCTAAAATAAACCAAAATCTTACAAATATGAATTAGAAAAGAAAATGATTTTACCATATAATTTATAATGAAGATAGAAGTAAAAATTGCTTGAATCAATCGGCCAATTGCATATGCCATAGGCATACTTCGTGATGTTGGAAAATTAATGGCATAGATACTATAAGTAATATAAGGTAATACCAAACAAATAAAGGCTATCACACGCATCAGAACCATCGTTGTTATTTGTTTGTCTAATTTACGACGAACAACTGGTAATTGTTGTCGGACTATATGACGAACATTATGATACGCTAAGATACTGAATGATGATGCAATTATAATAGGTAGGAGACCAACTAAAACTGGATAAAAGGAAAATGTTGAATACCGAATCCATATACGATTCGATATGATACATCCCATTGTTGGTTGAATATTATACGAAGAGCCACGTACAATGCTATGAATGACCGCAAAACAGATGAATACAGATGAAACATATCGACCTAGTTTCAATGTACACATTTGTCTTAAATTGAAACGATGATTTGTCGAAAAGAATTGATCAACAGTGGTGAAACATATCATATAAAGAGTAGTGAGTGCACATGTTTGTCCCAATATAAATCTTAATTTACACCAAATTGAAGAACGTCCTGTTGCATCATCTCCATATATTGATGTTAAAATAGTTAAACTAATAGATAAAAACTGATAAAAGAAGTTGGAAATTGATTCAATAGTTATATAGAAGGCGCATCGGTTAGTTCGAAATAATTTCAATTGAGTAAAAACGAGAAGATTCAACGCATTACTAATAACTCCAAAACCAAATATAATAAAATTACTATAAAACGAATATTGTATAGCAAATTTGAGAATTCCATCAGATACTGATGATGATGATAACATGCTACTTTATTCAAAATGATATATAATTTATTATTTGTTTCTTTCTTCTTTTCCTGGAAAATTTAAAATTTAATATAAAAAAATGTTAATCCATTCTTGTCATTTATTATTTATGAAGCATCTTAGCAGAAATTACTGTCACGATTGACAATAAAAGTCTTTAATTACTAGTATGATGATACTTCTTTTTTCATACAAAAAGTTTTGTATCTACCTACGTCATTCAATCCGATGTCATACCGTCGATTTTCATCGGAAATTTATCGAGTTTGTGTCGATTACAAACGGATTAAATAAAAATTTCTCACCGCTATTATTCACCATCTCTCGTGATATTTAAAGATTTCATCATAATTTCACGAAGATTGTAAAAGATTTCTTCTCTCTTAACTCGATTTAATTCTATAATGGCACAATAGATATAACAGCATCATTCCTAGAACCTTTCAATAAATTCTCTACGATCATCTCAAGTATGGACATGTATATTAAAAAGATTTTCAAATGTAGTTCAAAAAATTAAAAAAAACAGACTTGTATATGTCGCAGCTCAGTTTAGAATTTAGTTGACATTGTAGTTCTCTATTATAGCGTGAATAAAGTGATAAAATAATTAACATGAATAAGTTTTTTCTGTTTTTGAGGATATGAGATTATTTGCTTGAGTATGTAATTTGCAAGACTTCAATCTTTTTTTATCTTTCTTAAGAAAAGAAGATTTGCAACAGATGTTTATCTCTTAATGCCTAGACAATTGCTTGATTTTGAGAAGCATGAATGAACAGAAAGTATTTTTTCCTTTGAAAGAAATATTGTTGAAGTTTTTTCATTTCGTTATATTATTTTCTGTTTATTATCTTGATTGTCTATATATAGAGTTTGAATAAATGGATGAGAAGGTATTTATATAATTATTTATACGCATACGCTGCATAAGAACAGGATACGTTAACTAGTGTTCCTTCTTATCATTATCATCATTTCCATATCATATCATCAAAAAAAGGATCGCACAAGAGACGATATATACGAATAGAAAAGAAATTCTTTATTGTTTATTTTATCTTTATTTTTAATATGAAGATTTTGTTTATCTCTATTCTTTAATTAAAGAAGAGTGTGGCTATGGGTCTGGAATGGTTGAAGGTATAGGTGAGTGTATAGTAGAAGTTACATGAACACTCACATTCACACCCACACTCTTATTTTTTTTAAAAAAATTCTATTTGATATTATCATTAGATAGTTCAATATGTATTCTGCTATTAGACACGTAAAATCAAGTCCTCAGTCGCTGCTGTTGTAGTAGTTAATTGCGATTGTATATCGACAGATTGTAAATGAGTAATTGCAATGTCGTAAGATGGTAGTAAAACTTGTGGAAGATGATTATCAACGGCAATATTGTATGAAGGTGGAAGTGCATCGAATAGAATAGAAATTGTTGATACCGATAGTTCCTTATCATTTTGTGTAGAAACATTCAGTTTTGATTGTCCTTTCGTGTGTCGTTGATTATTTCTAAAAATGGTAGAAACGCCTCGAAAACATCTCCAGCATATATAACCAATTAAAAATAACAAAGGAATGTAAAGAGAACACGCTGCGACAATATACAAAAATATTTCTAAGCCGTGTGGGAGTATAGATTTTTCAATTACTGGTTTAATGGGGAAATATGGTTTGGTAAAATGAAATATCATTGTAGGAATGGTTGGTATAGGTCGATAATCACAGACATCGACCTTAGCTCCACATTCGACATATGATATTGCTGTCAATAAATACGAAATAAATCATCTGAATCTTTTAGAAATTTTCTCTTACCAAGACAACACCAAACCGATGTTCCAAGAGAACAAGTCTTTTGATCTTAAAAAAATATTTGTTGATAACGAATTGTTGTGATCTTATTTAATAATATACATACCGGAAAATGACGAACAGTTTTTACTATTAACAATCATACATTTGAAAATCAATAGAACGAGAATAGAATAAATATTATCAATCGAGTGATTGAACATTGTATTTGAAATATATGATGTTGCTTCCTTCTATTATCTGAAACAAAACTTGTTTCATAACAATTTCAGTTTCAATGTGGATACACTCACAATTCTTCACAATACCTACCTGATAGACATTCAAATGAAATCTGAAAGGAGTTTGTATTGCCATTCAAGGTAATAAATTGTTTTTATCAGTATATACTTTAAAAAAGATTTAGATGAAAACACTAATAAATCATTCATGATACGGTATTTTTTCTCCGAATAATAATAAAGAATGAAATACTATAAAGAAATACTTCTTTATCGTGACGATCATTTACATCGTACGATCAAGATACAGAGAAAAAGAAATGAAATACTTTTAAATACTTTTTTTAAACTAATCAGCATTATACTGGTCTCCAAATATATTAACAGATAGATGCATGACATTCAGTCACGATTAATCTCATCCATTAATACAGTGATATCTGATAAAGATAATATTTTTATAGTAATTAATTAAATATTTCTTATTCTTTTCTATTAGTATAAAGGCATATATGATTCTCTGATTGATATTGATGGTGGTAGTGAGTATAGTATCATATTATTTTCAAAAAATCTTGAAGGTGTGGGTGTGGATTCGTCTTTTGATTATCCACACCCACACCATCTCATCACAACTTTTCAAAATGATCATTTTTGAAAACTACCTCAGACACTAATTTTGAAATGCTCAGCAGGTTTGAATATTATTTCATCGTTAGTCCGATATTTTGTCTAATCATTTCCAGTTTATAAATAATATTTTTAGGGATGGAAACAACACTGACATAAAATTTTATTAAATAACAAGCAGAAAAATTGGTATGAGAACTTTTTTTCAGAAGCAATACTTTCGAAACTTGTGAGATTTCGGCTTCATACTGGATATAGATGTACATGATGAATAAATTTTCACCTTCGTTTTTCAATGGATTAGAAATACTATCATTATAAGTTCATTAAGTTTGTCTTTCATTATCCGATAGTCTATGCAAGAGAGGCAAAATGCTCTGTTTGATCGATATTTCTCGATTAATTGTCAGATCGAAGCAAATACTATACCAATAAATTAGAAGAGTTCTGAAATAATGAAGAAACATCGATTATTGATGAATTAGTCGTTGCCATTGTCTCAATAATTCTAGAAATGTTTTTCTGTACAATGTTGAAGGAAGGACAAAAACAATAAAGATAAGCATCGATGGAGTAAATGAAATGAAATAACCAAAAATAAATAGCAATCGATGATTAGATGGATTGACACATTCAGATAACATTGACATAATCAGACGGGGTAAGGATAGAATTAGGAGAACGATCGGACTAATTAACAATTGTTTGTGTTCACTAAATTGATCATAAATATGTTCTCTTAGAGTTAGTCTTGTCTGAGCTGTTGATCGTTGTCGGGCTGATCCAAATATGATGAATAAAGCAGAACACAGATTGATAATACATGGACCAACAAGATGAAAAAATAGGATGGTTGTATTGTATTGTTGAACAGAAGGAGAATAACGAGTTAAACACCATCTATCGATATCCACTTTGTTCTTCTCTGTATTTATCTCATGCAATTCTCGGTATATAGGTTCGTGAATGATTGAGCCCATGATACAGAATGGTAAAATGAGAATTATCCATCGAGCAATCCGTTGACTTTTCTGTTTATTAAGGTTTATTCCTTTGGAAACTTGAATCACTCTTTCAATGGCTACACAAGCATTGAGCCAAGCATCCAAATATAGACAAAGCTTGAGCAGAGGTTCGATCGATACACAACCTCCTCGAACAACAGAAACATGAATCGATAGTTTCATTTGAGTGAGAACAACAAACCAAAACTTCACTACAAACATGCTGATCGTAAAGAACGAAGTAATTGACGATGCTAAGAGATAAATGCCAGATCCAACTTGTCGTAAATCTTTATTTTGAAATGTTATTAGAGACAAAATACTATTGATTAAACCTCCAACAAACATAATCATCGTTAAAGCGATATTAGTTTTCAGCATTATTGTTTGATCAGTTATTGTCATATTCGGTCGAATTTCACCGCGTAAAATATCATCAAGAGTGACACCAATACTTTTTTTGTAGAACTGACATGTTTGCCCGATGAAACAACTAGTCAGAATTTGAGCTAGAAAGAGAAATACATGATCATCAAGAGATGAGATCAATCTTTCTCAACTTAAAAAAGTCGTGTTGGGACAAATTTGTAAGTGTTATGATCTATGGTATACATAGGATCATCATATATATCTTCTTTTCGTTCTTTCCTTCTTCTTTCTATGATTCACCTTTTCTTCTATTTTTCGTATACATATATATATGTAGTTTATTGTTTACTTTTCTCGATTCAACAATAAACAACATATTCGATAGATAATCAGTACATCTGACAGTAAGCAACAATAGTCTATTGAAGTCATTTATCTATACATGCCATATCCTGTCCAGATTAGACTTATATATTTTTATTTTCTGTTCAATATCTCATGATGAATTCACTCATTTTTTGTAAAAATGTTTCTGCATATGAAGTCGATAAATTTTTAAAGACTGCAAGGTAATAAAGTCTCAGATAGTGTGAAAACACTAAAGAATAGATCTTCTCGGATATATCGTTGATGAGAAAAGAAAAGGTGTATTAATTTGCTCAACTGATTGAACTCATACAATCCATCTGATCACGACTAAGCTACAATACTAAGATTTAATCTTATCTGATTGGAAGAAAATTGCCCATTTTTAAAAGAAACAGTTTTAAACGTGATCCTATTTTTTTGTCAATAATTCTGTTAAATTATGCGATTTACTTGAAATTCTCAGATCTTTTATTATTCATGAGTGAAAATGAAGTTCAATGGGATGTTGTCTTTTTCTGTTAATGATTAACAAAATAATACAAAATACTTACTGTAATGATTAAGAGTGATATTATTTGGACCAGATGTCAGAATGGAAAAGTTTCCTGTCTTATTTGGAGAAGATGTTGTCACCACTAATATGTATGTAGTATCAATGTGAAGATAAGCAATAAACTTGAAATCTGGATAAACACAGGTTTGATAATCTTGTGAGAGTAGATTCTCGAAAGGATTCATTGGATTAAAATCATCTTTGTAAATATCACCAAATGTATCCATACTGCTAGTACTACTCAGAGCAAAGTATCCAGTTTCCACTACTTGCATCCGTATAGTTTGATAGTAATAATTCGATTTTCGACAATCTCGAGAATATGTTTGACTATTCTTAGTCAACTCTGATGAATAGTTCGATTGTACAGCTGATGAATATGGCATTTGGATGACTGATGGAGAACCTACGTGATGAAAACAAAACAACAGTCAAGATTCGTGACAGATCTAGATTGACTGAGAGAAAACCGAATGGTCTGGATGTAAGAAAGAAAATTGAGCATCATAAGTCGTCTCTTATATACCCTGGATATCGAAAGGCATATCGAAGCGGACCCTAGCTTTCCGAAGAGACAACTCTCTATAATATCACTATCAATGAAATAATTGAGCCGTACATGGGGAATAAGAATAGAACCTATGAACATTTTTCTGTACTCGAACCCTCGAAAATGTATGTCACGAATGAGTTTGAAATACCTTCTTTATTTCAAAAATGGATAACGTCCCAATGTTTTAGATAGGTAAAATCATTTATTTATAGTCTAATTCTTCTACTATTGTAATTTATTCAAAAATTAAAGTATGTAAAGATATCTTTTTGATTCATACAAAGTGAGAATATGTTTCTATATTTTATCTATGATAAGTTGTATGTATATGTTTGCAGCGTTTCTTTTTATTATAAGAACATTGAGTGATAGGACATGTTGCGATAATTAGCAAGGTTTTTTTCATTTTATGCTCACGGTGAGGGATTCGTGTCAAGTTCTATATATTATTTACATCAGATTAGCGATCGATTGAAAGCAGTCTGTATTGAAGGAGATTGATCTAATCCTATTCACAATATTGTGTTATCTGATGAATTTAATGTCGCTGTTTATATAAAGCTTTCTTCTTATAATGCAAATTTCATCTTACTAAAACAAATTTTTATTTGTGGATATGCCAAACTCGACTAAAAACTCATGCTAAAGTTGGCTAACATTAATTTAATAGTTGTAGTGCAAACACTTACTAATATTCTTGAGGTCGACATGGTTTGAACCGGATACAAAGATCGAGAATAAACCTGTTATATTAGAACTGAACGTTGTCACAACCAATATATATTTAATAATACTCTCAAGAGCAATTGTGAATCTAAACTGACGATTGCAGCTGTTATCATCATCTGAGATTTGGTTTTCCAATGGATTGGATGGATTGAAATAGTCTTTGTAAATAGAGCCGTATGTGCTCATATTGCTTTTGCTGAAGAAAGTGTAAAGACCACTTCTACGAACATCCACTTGTATTGCTTCATAGTAATAACTTGTCAGTGAACACCTACGTAAGTACGTTGAACTGTTCGTTGACAATTTTGATTCGTAAACTGTTTGAACAACTGATGAAGTATTCACTAACAAAAAAGAAAATCGATTCGATTTTGTATAATATGGAAATAAATGTAAATAATTTGAAATATTACTTTCTCTCTAAGATACATATATCGAAAGTAACTGGAAGTGATATGAATCTTAGTCTCTATCGAATAGAAATTTCTGTATATTACTTTGCAGATTGAGTTTATGTATATTCTTTATCGATTATGAATATGTACAGCTGGTTATTCATTAAAATACTATAAATACTCACAAATACGATTGAAACCGATATAGGTTGGGCCAGATACTTGAATTAAAACATTTCCTGTTACATTTGAAGAAGATGTTGTTATAACCAAAATGTATATCATATTAGCTTGGAAAAAATCTTTGAGCTGAAACTGACCTCGATTTTCATAGTCTACATTATGTCTGAAGCCATTTTTGGACACATCAAATGGATTGAAGTTATCTATGTAGATATAAGCGTGTATGGTTTTCATCTGGCTGTTGATTAGAAAAGTATAATGGCCACTTATAATGACGTTCATTTGTATCGCTTCATAATATGAATCTGACTCTGAGCAATCTTTGAAATAAGTTGAACTATTCGAGGTCAGTGACGATGAATACATTGTTTCTATAACTAATGAATTATTTCCTGAATGAAAAAAATCAATGAGTATTTGTATTTAGAATAAAGAAAAGAAATGATTGCACATATTCTTAGTTTGCTTTTCACTCTGTTTACTAATGAGAGTTGTATTATTTGTTTTAGAGCAATGCTTTTAATAGAGAAACGAAGAAAAACATGAAATAAATTATCTATTTAGCGTCCTTGAAATCTGTATGTTCTTCCAAGAGATGTTGTAATAACTACAATAAAGAAATGTTATAAAACCTCGTATACAAAAACGAGTATCATTCTGGACTACAGAAAGTCTGGTGAGCCATAGACTTACAAATTTACGACTTGTTCATTATCATCTTAATCTTCAAACTTTTCTGCTTTTATAAATATAATGCAGAACATTAGTTTTTTTGTCGACATTACTAAGCATAATAATGAACTATCTAATGAAAGTGACATTCAATCTTAACAATTGAAAATATTCTCATATTCGATTCATTATTAAAATATTACAAGAGCGACTTTTTAATTATTTTTTATTCTAATAAAGCGTGCCTTGAATAACCCGGTAAGGATCGAACCTTTTCCTTCTTCTCGTTGTTGGCATTTTTCTATGAAGACTGACCTATGTTTAAAACGCACTCCTTTGTAATAATCATGATTCTATTGTCGTTTGTCAATCAAAATCATGACCGTAAATATAGCATAATCATTTTCTCATCTCAAAAGTAAAGATGATATACTAAATCTCTATGATTACGCCACGAATTGTGGTTAATACTCGAGCATACGTTCTTTTCTCTCTGACAGATGTTTTATATCTACGAGTTTGAAAGCACACTGGACAACTATGAAAAACGACTCTTTGTTGGTTTCAAAGCAATTTGTGAAACTTGTTTTGTTCTAAAATATGGAATTCTATGCGAGAAATTTTTATTTGTATCGATATCCACTTCGAAGTGTTTTTAGTTCGATAAAAATTTGATGAATCTCGATGATAATTTTACTTCTCATGAGTGTTTTACGTTTCATAAAATCATTGTGTTCGTTATTTTCTACAGTTAGCAGCGGTAAGTAAGTGCAGATAATGATAAATCAAAGAAAATTTATAAAGAAAGTTCAACAGAAAGGACTGAATTCATTTCTGACTTTTCTACTAAATACATAGACATTCTAATTTCCATCAGTAGCATACAACTAACATAACGATAATGTTATCGATTGATTTTGCAGAGAATTATAAATAAGCAAGGTTTTTATTTTATAACAATAGTATATTAGAATGAAACTTGAGATTTGAATTTGACTATTCAGTAATGTAGTTCGAAATCCATCAGGCATTTCATCTTCATCTCCCTTGATAGCTTTTCTTTTTAGTTCTCTGAATAAACATTGATTGAAATGCTATTACAGACTTCATTCGATCATTCTAAACTTACCACATGATTCTTCGAAATATTGAAATTTTTGAATTCGATGATTTGATGTATCAGTAACAAACATATTCCCAGAACGATCGAGACTCAAACTAAATGGACGATTCAATTGATTGGATTGTAAACCCTCTCCATAACATCCAACTAAACATCGAAAACCATTCAAACTTGAACGAACAATTCGATAATTATTCTGATCTGCAATGAATAAATATTTCCCAGCATCTAATACAATTCCACTTGGACAACGAAGTGTAATGGTTGGATTTGGTGATGTACCTCCAGCCACTGTGATACCATATGATCTTCCCGGCTGAAATAACTGAACACGATTATTGTAACAATCTGCCACATATAAATCTAAATTCACATCGACAAAAATTCCACGAGGACTATCAAGTCTAGTCCAATCATATCCGTTAATACCTGTTCCAGCAGCAACACGGTTTGAATTCATCACAGGATCATTCAACGATCTTTTCACTACCCGATCATGATCAGGCATTGAACAATAAAGAGTATCATAGATATCGACAAACAAACCCCAACACGATGAGTTGACATTCATCACCGTGACAAAGGTATTTGTTTCTGCTACCCATTTCTGCACTCGACTATTTTTCTCACCATCATCAATATAAATATCACCATTTGATGTCACGAAGAGAGACTGGGGTTCTGTAAAATTACCGTGAATGATTTTTGTTGGATTGACATTCTCTTCTTGCCACATTACAATTGTGTTATTTTCTTGATTAACGACATAGATTGTATTATTTGTGTTCACAAAAATGGCGCCAGGCTCTTGACCAACAATCGACCGATTAGCAAAAGTAATTCCATTAGAATTCCAAGTGGCTGTTGAACAAAACCTTGGTTGATTGAATGAAGGAGCTAATAAGAGAACCATAAACGAAATGAAATTGTTAATTTATATATTTGTAGAAAAAAAACAAAATTTGTTCAAAGAAATTTTTCATGAAATAGATATTTGGAAATGTTTGTTAACATCAATTTTAAGAATGATTTTTATTAATTTTGATACGAAAGATGAAGTCAAATCATAGAATAATTTATATTAAATCGATATCGGCCAAGATGTGAAAAGATTTTATTTTGATAAGAGCTGTTTCATTGATGAAATGTTCTTTGAGATACATGAAACGAAATATCAAAGGTTTTCATAACATTTCATTAAGGACAGAACTTTTCTTTCTCTATTCTTTAGTCTCAACAAAAAGGCGAAGATTGTTTGCTTTAGACGATTGACACATAATTCTGTCTAATCTGAACATTTCATTTAACTTTTCTTCAACTTACTAAAAGAATCTTTTATCCATAAAATTTTTTGAATACGAGCATTCCATCGATCAAAAACAAACATGTTTCCTGAATGATCAAAGCTCAAACTATATGGGCTAGACAATTGGTTGGATTGTGAATCCACTCCATAACATCCAACTAAACATCGAAAACCATTCAAACTTGAACCAACAATTCGATTATTATTCTGATCTACAATGAATAAATATTTGTCAGCATCTAATACAATTCCACTTGGACGACGAAGTGTAATGGTTGGATTTACTGATTTACTTCCAGCTACTGTAATACCATTTGATTCTCCCAATCGGAACAACTGAACACGTTGATTTGCACAATCTGCCACATATAAATCTAAATTCACATCCACAAAAATTCCATGAGGTTCACTGAGTCGCTTCGAGGCTGATCCTGATTTACGTGTTCCAGCAGCAACACGATTTGGATTCATCATAGAGTCATTCAGCGATCTTTTCACTACTTGATGATGATCAGACATTGAACAGTAAACAGTATCATTGATATCGACAAATAAACCATAGCATGATGAGTTAACATTCATCACCGTGACAAAGTTATTTGTTTCTGCTACCCATTTCTGCACTCGACCATTCTTCTCACCATCATCAATATAAATATCATCATTTGTTGTCACGAACAGAGAGTTAGGTCGTGAGAAATTACCGTGAATGATGTTTGTTGGAATGATACTCTCTTCTTGCCACATTACAATTGTGTTATTGTCCCGATTACCGATATAAATCGTGTTGTTTGTGCTCACAAAAATGGCGGTAGGATATTTACCAACAATTAACTGATTAGCCATGGTAACTCCGTTGGGATTCCAGATGGCTGTTGGAGAAAACTTTGGTTGATTGAATGAAAGAGCTAAAAGAAGAAAAATATAAAAAATATTAGAGAACAACTGTAAACGAAATGAAATTGTTAATTTATGTTTTTCCTAGAAAAATTCATTGAGATTAATTTTGAAAAGATTTCTACGATTGTTTTTGTATTTTCTCGGATGATTTTTAAATATAAACTTAGAGAGGGCTGAACCGATCAAAGAAGATCAACTCTATTTATTGATTTTTTTATTGTAAAAGAAAAATAATTATGCTCAATCCTAGAAAATGAATGCGATGGAGAAAAAAGAATTATTTAGAATAAAAATGACTTTAATGCAATTTAGTAAGATCCAAACAAAATGCCTTTGAGATTCAAAATCAAATTTTCTCATTTTTATATGAAAAACATTGTGAATATATTGATGTTAAATCATTTCAATTGAATCTAATATATGAAAGAGAGGAAACAATTCTCCTGGAAATCTTTAATTAAACAAACATCCAGAGAATATTTACGAACAATATTTTAAGATAAAGTCAAAATGGAAATATTCCTTTTTTTCTCATCAATACTATATGTGTCTTTGTTTTTATATTCTCATCAAATTAAACAAGACCAATTTCCTTTAACTTTTTTGTTAGATAATAATTAAGTTTTAATCAAAGTTTTCCTCTCATTATTTCAACTTGAATATTTTGAGAAAAACAATCCAATAATCATGGATTTCTTTTAAAGATGAGCAAAACTTATATTTATTTGACCTTTCATTCAAATCCTGTCTTACTTAACAATATTCTTTTATGATAGTCTAGTGATAAAATGGTAGCGTCAATCATCAATTTGTACTTGCAAGGCAATTCTACATTGTCATATGATTTGTGCTTTTTCTTTCTGCATGATATATTCATTTCCACAACTTAAAACTTAATATTTTCTCACAAGTAATCCTGTGTCGAAAGTATCGATGAAGAATATTTATCATTTCATTGATCAATTGAACTCATTTCTACTAGATAATTTCGTATGTTCTAAAAAAGGATTCGTTCCTTTTGTGGATTTCAAAAGTTTTAAATCCTTTTCATTTTCTATAAGAGTAAATAATATCCATAGGAATGAATGATCAACTGACTTGATACCTCACATCTATTTTTTATACATAAAACTCTTTGAGTGCATCAAACACAATAGAATTATTTTATCAGGCATAGTTCTTTTTATACGATGAAGATGGTGATCTGTATGGAATAAATGGATTTACATCTTATCTCAAACCAAAATACTTAAATAATTTCACAAAACTTTTTTCATTTACATTAATCTTTTTTTTTCATTTTGATTTCATTTGCAAAAGTCAGTCAATTCACTTTTTTTGAGCAGTCATCCTATTCCGCAATGTTGAACATTTCAGGAACCAGTTCCGCTCCGGAATCGATTCCGTTCAATTCCGGGAACTCGATCGACACATAATATCCGATACCCACTCGAAAATTGATCGAGTTCCGTCCAATTCCGGAATTAGTAGGAATTCCGTATAATTCCGGAATCGGTAGGAATTCCATGTAATTCCGTAATTAGAAGTAGTTCACGCAATTCCGGAATCGGTGGGAATCGGTAGGAATTCCCAGGAATTCCGTCCAATTCCACTGA